GGCTGCGATTATGAGAATTGGGCTGAGAGAAATGAGAGCACTTTCCAAGTTGTTGTTTTCATCGGTTAAAGACAGCACCTTCTTTGAGAGTTGTGGCGTAGCTGATCTGATCACCACATGCCGTAAGGCACTCCCAGTTTGCTTTCTTCTTTTCTCTTATGGGGTGATTTTGGTTTGACTGTAACTTATTTGTGGCAGTGGGAGGAAGAAATAGGAAAGTTGCTGAGGCTTTTGCAAGGAATGGAGGCAAAAGGTTAAGTTATTTTCCGGTAGGCAGACTTGGCGAGAATTCTATTTTGCATAATGTTATTTTCTCTTGTTAACAGGTCTTTCGATGAGCTTGAAGCCGAGATGCTGCAGGGCCAGAAATTACAGGTAGATACACTAACTAGGTTGCTATAAATTTTTAAAATTTTGTTCTAAAATTTTTTTAGAAAATTATTTTAGTTTTGCTTTTGTTTTTACTTATGCAACTTTTGTATATTTTTGCTGAGTAAAATCTTGCATAAAAACGAATTAATTTAGAAAATAAAAGCTTAAGAATATTTTTGCATAGGAAATAAAACCTTTATTTCTCTGCAATTTTACTGACTTGAATAAACACTGGCAAATATGAAGAAACCACTTGTTAGAATCAGTATATAAATTTAGCATGTGGGTTTAAAGAAACTACCATGGGAGTTTTTTTTCAATTTTTTTGGCGTCAAATATTTATGAAATCTACTTCTACATGTGAAGGGTGTTTCAACAGCAAGAGAGGTTTATGAGGTTCTGAGCCACCGGGGATGGCTGGAGTTATTTCCGCTTTTTGCAACAGTGCACAAGATCTGCATTGGTCATCTTCCACCATCAGCCATAGTTGAATACAGCGAACATAAGCCAAATTTCTCTCTGGTTGACGGATCTGCCGAATATTTTTGATTCACTAAAGGAGTACAAAGAATTTGTCTCCCCTATTGTTTTCAGGTTTGAACTCCTTATATATAGCTTCTTTCAGTTGTGCATTTAGCAGAAACGAGAAGAACACAGAAACAGTATGCAATTCACACGATCAGAAAACAGGTTTACAGATTACGGTAGAACCTTTGGACAATTGAAATTAACCATTGTAGAACTCCTGTTATTTCTTGCACTTTTTTCTTCATTCACTAATGTGTAACACCTACTTTGATACAAGCCATACAATAAAGAAGCAGAACAAACTTTTGCTTCCTAGTCTCAATCTTTCTGATAATGATAAGTAAATTAAGTGAACTGACTTGGCAGATCTTATGTTCTGAATTGTGATTGGCATGTACCATAAGCTTTTTCTGTTGAACTATGACTTTTGGCTATGACTCTTAACTCGATTTTTGGCTATGACTGCAACTTGAACTCAAACATTGAGTGAAAAATTCAAAGGGAAGAAAATAGTCACTATAACACCAAAACCTTTCTCATTTCATGCCATAGTTTTTACAGGGATATCACAAGCCAACTAGAGAGCCAGCAAACCACAATAAATTAAAAGGACAAAAAAAAAAATTCCACGTGCATAAAATTGTGCAGTTTTTTCTTTTTTCATGTAATTACTATTACCCTGTTCGTATTCTTTCCAACCGATCAACACTCTTCCTTGCCCTTTCCAATTGGTGATCGATGCTTTTCCGGGACTTCTCATGGCAATCAACACTCCTCCGGGATCTTTCCATTTGATCAAATATTCTCAATTTTTCTAGTTTATCAATAGTATTAGAGTGGCTTTTTAGTTTTTCAGGTCTATCAGTGCTCTTCCGCGGTTTTTCTCTCCGGTCAGTACTCTTCCTTGAAACCTCAAACACATCTGTGCTCTTCCGAGGTTGCTCAAATTGATCTGTGCTTCTCCTAGAACTGTATCTTTGGGATGGAGATTTCTCTACTGTTGATATAAACTTCTTGAGATGCCTGATATACTCAGGGTAATGCTCTAAATCACAGTGGTTGCCTCCTTTAAGCCAAAGTGGTTCATACTTCTCTTTGCACAGTTCCCAGAGTTGCTTGCCATGGGAGCAATCAACTACTTCATCTGAAGTGCCCTACATTGATTATATCATAATATGAATATCAAGATATGAGAAGAATTACAATGTGATTTGCTATTATTTACAATCCAATATCTATTTATAGTCTTGAAAATGATACCCTATATAATTTTTACCTATAAAGGAATAAGATTATGGGAAGTGGAAAAACCTCCAAACATATTCACATTGAAGAAATCTTTTTCTTCTTTTCTGGACTACAAGTGAAGCAGAGTGAAGCTGAAATTGAAATATTGTAAGGAAATATCCAAGCATAATCACGATAGATAACACCTACATTGTGTTTGGTTTAATTCTCGTTTGATCCTAGTTCTAGTTCTCACCTTAACCTTAATACGCGTAATTTTACTATAATATAGTGTTTGGTTATTGACAAGTTGATGAGAAAGGGGAGGACAAGGATGAATGGATGTTATCTTTACAAGAATACTGCAGAGTCGTGCAATCATATTTTACTTTAGCGTGAGATGGTTTATAAGATGTGGACAATGGTTTATATTTTGTTAGGGATAAAATGTTAGGGTTAAAATGGGTTCTAGTGGGATTAGTGAGGGATGATATTTGGGCATGTGATGAGATTTTATGAAGAAAAAATTTGTAAATCTTATTCCATTGATTATTTTTTAGATAGTATGGAAAGAGAGAAATAGTAGGGCCTTTGAGGGGATTGAATGAGAAATATCTAAAATTAAGAATAGATAGTTTCGTTATTTTAGTTATTTGATTTTTAGACATGACATATATAGGATGGAGGATTTTGAAAATATAGTAGATATTCTAACAGATTTGTAAATATTCTATAAATGGGTAGCATCCTGTTAGTGCCGTGATTTTAATATACTTCCGACACTTTTTATTTTCTTTTATTTTTAAATATTGTATTTGATTATTAGTATCCACCTCAAGTTCATTGATGATGGGATTTTAACCCATGCCTTGAAGGGTAGGAACCAAATTTCCTTCATTAAGGAGGAAATTAAAATGAGGTGGTAATAACACAAATACAATAAATTATCTTCTAATTATTCATATTAAAGCAAATTAAAATGAAAACTAGAACTAAAACTTGAACAGGAATTGAATTGAACCATCAGAACATTATCAATAAGCAAATAATTCAAGAAAGTGGAAGAACCTCCAAACTTATTTACATTGAAAAACTTTCTTGGGGACAAAGATAGTGTGCTTGTAGTCTTCAGGAGTCAGATTAAAAATGCCTAGCTCTATGGAAATGGCCAAACCTAATCACCCAGCTAATGCCTGGTGTTTATATGGAAGAACTTGAGATAACAGAATGGAAGTAGCTCCACAGAGAATGGCCCTCAAGACTAATTTACTTCATGTTTGGATTGAGAATTGTCAAAACACTGGTAATTATTCTAAGTCACAACATGACAGCTAGTTTTGTTTGGATTCAAGACACTTTGCACCAGGCAACATACCAATGGGGATTTGGGTGTCTCAGGTTTGATTCGAAAGAAATGGATTTGCTCTGAAACCCACAAGGGAAAATCATAGAAGGTCGAATTGATGGTCATAACAGATAGTACTACACATTGCAAATGACGTTCAAAAAGGAAAGTCGGAACATAGATTTATAATACTGCTTTTTCCAAGTGCAACATGGAACCTCAGAGTTAGCAAGAATATTGTGAAGATCTATCTAAACAAGGATATGATAAACAGCATGGATAATGAAAAAGGAAGTATTCAATAACAACTAAACTACACACCATAAGAAACATAAAGAGAAGAGAAAGAAACAAACAGGAGTCATTGTATGACATTAACCAAAATCAATAGCTAAACCATCTAGAACAGGAAGATACAGCAATTATAAGAGAAAGTCGCATTTGTAAGAGTTTCTTTTTAATCAATATCAGAAATTAGAATACCATACTTACGTGGATAATAAGCACGGGACAACTAACAAGCGGAATTTTGTCAATATTCTGCACAAGACAACACAAAAAAGCATTCAAGTATGTGAAAAAGTTCAGTTATTCACTTAAGCATAGTACTATAAGAAGTGAACTTATGAACATATATGTTACCTTATAAATGTCGAACCAGTATGTACGCTTCACTGGATACATGACTCTTAACCCGGAAAGTATAGGACTATGGAGAACAACAGCTCTCAACTGAGGCAGCCGAGCAGCAAGATCCAAAGTAGGGCCACTTCCCACAGATTGGCCGTAAAGGATGATATCTTCCTGTTTCGCTCCATAACTCTCTTCAAGACACTTATATGCAGCTTCAATATCTGCATATGTATTTTGCTCACTCGGCTGCATTACAAGCAAAGATAGCAGCTTTAGGTAGTCATACAAGAACACTGACCACTATCAACACAAACTATAGGACAACGAATCCTCTCTTCGAAAAAGTTCCATCCTTTCTCTTTCTAAAGAAAAGAAACAGTAATCACAACACACCTTTCCAGTTGATTGTCCATATCCCGAATAATCGTACCTGCCATAAAGAGACATGTTCTTGGTTTACTTTCCTACACAGGAGATAAATCAAGCAGCAAAAAGGGTTTATGTAGGTTTACAAATATGCCTTAGAAGAAGGTTAAACAAGCAAGTCAAACTTGTTTGACTGAATTCCCCTTAGTTTTTTCACATTGGTGAGAACCAGCAATCTGATAAAAATATCAAAAGCTATAAATCTACTGACAGAAAGCTATCCCAATTTTCTGGAGTTACCAAAAAAGCCTGCATTAAACATGAAATTTAACTAAACAACTCCTGCAAAAGGACCAAGAACAAATCTTGTTTAAGTCTTAAACTTGCAATTGGGATTGGGGAGAGGACGTTAATAGATGGACTAAATTTCCATTTTAATTAGATTATTTCCTTGGAACCCAACTGCTATATATGAACTATTATGGAAGAACTCAGTGATCTGATCAAAAGGGGCAGAAAATAATTGGCAACCAAATAAGCCACCATTTTCTGCTAATTTTCCAGCAAATCCCAATTTCTTGAAAGTCAGATTCACAATATTTTCCCAAAAAAAAAATCCGTGGTCAGTAAAGTCAAGTTAATACTAACATGAAAAAAAAATCCTCAAAATCATAAAATTAGAAAAGTAATGGAACCGAAAAGCACAAAATCCCCAAAACCCAGATGCAAAACATCTCAAATTTTGTTTTTAAAGGGAAAAAGCAGAGTACCCCATGAGATTAACTCGCAAGTGAATGCTCAATTCGATGAAGAGCTCATACATCTGACCCAGATCGGCGGCGTTACCATGCGAGTAAAGTAGAGTGGAGGTGGCCATCGGATGCCTCACGTAGACCGCCACAATCTCCGTCCCTCTCCGAGTCGGCAGCTTCAGGATTTCAACGTTCTCGCGGTGGGGATAAGGGCTGAGCAACAAGAGCCCGGTGAGGTCGTCGGTTATCAGCTTATACGATGGTGGGTTCGGCGGAAAGAAAGCGAACTTTGCCGCCATTGACGACGTCACCCCTCCCATCTCCCACAAACTCCTCACTCACTCACTCCCTCACTCACTCACACACACGCACTCTCTCTCTCTCTCTCTCTCTCTCTCTGTTTTTCTCTCTCCTGCTCTGTTTTTCTTTCTTTTTTTTTTTTGAACATAAAGAAATTATAGGTAATTGATTATTGGGCTTTAATTATTTTTAGAAGAACATTCTGTATCCTCTCTTTTTGAAGCTCTTTGGCAGAGATTGAGAGGAACTTTTCCTTCTTCTTCTTCTTCTTTTTGAAGAGAGATTGAGAGAAAATTATTCTTTCTAATGGGGTATTTACGTAGTTACCATGAGTGAGAGAGGAAAAGGAAATTCTTTTTTAAAAGAAATATTATTTTTTAAAGAAGAAATATAGATGGGTTTGTTTTCTTTAAGTAAAAGAGAAGATTAAATGAATGATTTTTTTTTTCTTCAAATATAAGAAGAAAAATTTGCCATAAATTTATTTAGAAAACAAAAAAATATGAGCATTTTAAACTAAATTTATTAATATAATTAGCTTATAAATTTTATTATTTTTTTTTGTTCGAATATCGAAATTCACAGTTTCAATTCGAATTAAATTAAACAAAAAAAACTCGATAAAGTTAGAATATTACAAACCCAACTTGGGTAATTAAGACAAGAATCATTTCTCATTGTGAATTAGATTAACTCTTGTCCGTAATTAAGTTTAATTTGAAAGATAAAATTATTATTTTTTATATGTTAACTATAATATAATTGATTTATTATTATTTTTTAAAAAAATTTATGAGAATTATTTGACTAAATAGAGATTATATTATGTGGGATTAATAATACAAATGAAAGTAGAGTTGGACCTAATGTGTAGGGTCAGTGAAACAAAGAGAAGTGGACAAGAAAATTAAACAAAAAAATTGTGGGGAATACAAATACCTAACAAGCCATGAAACCTTCCCATGTGGATAAAGTTGATTGTGATTTAGAGATTCATGAACCATCTTCATTCATAAATTTGGTTGTCACTTGAGGTTCTACTTTTCTTCTCTTCTTCAAAACAAAACTAATAATATGTATAGGCCTGTGGAGGATGGTTCTGTAGGCTCTTGATTCTGTCTTTGAATTCTGAGGAGAAAGGATTTCAATTGAAGATAGATCTTTGATTGTTTTTAAAGAAATCTTTATCTTTTAGGGTATAATCAAATTGAATAAGTAAAACCCTCTTTTTGAAGAAACATAATAAAATTATCTTGCATCCCCAATTATTACAATAGGTAAAGAAAATATTAGTATTTATATATTCTTTTGCTTTTTTCTTGAGTGGGTGATTAAATATAGTGGTATAATATATACATGTGCTCTAGAGCCTAAGTGCTTAAGACAGCTGGTAAAACAGGGAACAAATTTTGTGTGCCCACCACACTCAAGAACAAAATTTAAAAATCTGAAAAAGGGGAAAACAAAAAACATGTTCAATTGATTTTGAGAATTTTAGACTTCTAGTTTGAAAGATAAACTAGCTTTATTCTCTTCTTATGTTTATTTTTCATGTTATTTCAAAGAGCTAGTGCTCTTGCCTTGAAAAAAACCAAGATGTTCAACAAGAAATATCTCTAGGATTTGAAAGAATGTTAGCCACATGCCAATTTAGTATCACGAGCTAATCAAAACTAAGGTAATCTAGCAGATCTTGTGAAGGAATCCTGTCCTCAGATAAGAAAAGCAAATGAAAAATAGTAATAATCTAATATCAAACTCATCATGAACCAAAGCATAAGCACAACTATTTTCCTTAGATCCCAGACAACCTTTTGCGCAAGAAAGGTTCACGAGAGATCTTTAAGATCAATCTGCTCATTGTCGATGTGTTTTGGTCAAAAAAGACTACATTAGCATCAAAGTCTACAAAATGCTGCATATGGGACCAACTCCATGGCCCCTCCTCCTTTCATAATACAGCACACCAACCACATCTTTTCCAGGACTAATCTCAGAATCCAGGTTACACAAATATGTCCCAATATCATGGTAAAAAATGACTCAATAACAACTTAAATAATCAAAATGATAATGAGGCTAATGAGAGAATAAAGAGATGTTGGTGCCCTCATGGGGTCCATGATTGAGCCAATGGAAAGGATATTGGTAGGTCTTCCTCACCTTGACTCTACTGTCTTGTTATTCTGATGGGATTGATGAGAGACATCCCTTGCCTGCATCAGGGGATTTTAAGAAGATGATTCACAATTTCATATATGATTGCCCATGGTTAATGGCGCAACAGAACAAGCAAGGATAGATTAAGACAAGGAACAACAGCTAAAGCTCGATGTGAGACATTCAATCAATTTTTAAAATACCAGCATCATGCTAATGTGTTATACACCAGACCCATAAGAGTAATGGATTTTTGTTTGGCTTTTAAAGATTTACCGACACGAAGAAAAAGTAGATTATATTTTATGCAGTTCCTAGACAGTTTATGTGTAAACTGTAGAAGTTTTTATCTTTTCCTTATATGTGGCAAGAGATTATTCCAAACAGTTTCGAGTTACCTATTCTCTATGAGTTCTTGCTCTATCCCCAGAGGTAGAAGGGTTCTCTCTGTTCCTTATCAAGAGATCAGAGAATTCTCTCTTAACAAGCCCCTACCCTTTTTCACAATAAACCCATAATTAGATCCAAGCCATACATATCAATCCATAGATCAACAGTCATTTAAGATGCATAATGCAACGTCCATACAAATGTCATTCAGTAACCCAAATGTCATGTTCTAACACAAGGCAGAAGAGTACAAACTTTCACATTTCCCTTCCACCTCTTGCTTTTATGGCAGGAGAAGGCAATAATTTAGAATGGGTGGCTATTGTTATGCTGGTCATTGCTTAGCCTGCAAAATTTGACTTGACTGATAATAAGAGAATCTGTCCCCTTCTGTAAAACGGTGGGATCAAGGTAAATAAATAAATAAACATTCATAACTAAGATGCATGAAACCCGTAGGAGGAAACAGGGTGGTATTACTTATCTTCAAGTCATAAAACAGGCTAACACTGTACCCAAAATTTGTGTGAACATAAATAACAGAACTGGTGACTGATGACAATCACACAGATATATACTAATAGTTCCTAACTTCATTCACCAAACTAGTATTTCTCAGTGTTGTTCTTTGGAGATAGCCATCCACCAAGATAATTGATAAGCTATAATTTTCTTAAGAAAAGCTAAAATGTTAACGGCAATCAACTCTTACTCTGACCATGATGATTGATCTCCTAACCATCAATTTTTAACCTGATGATGGATATTTCACGCTACAGCCACTAGAGGCAAAACAGTTTCAAATTTAAGAATTTCTCCATTATCCAATCGGTCTTCCATTAATTTATCTAAATTTTGAAATAACTCAAAATGCCAAACTACCACTTTCAACCTCCAAATTGGTTAGAACATAACTGATTCCTTCTGTAATCCTTGCTCCAACAATTTGTGGAGTGTAGTTCCAATAGTCTGCTGGAGTTGGACCCATAAAGCTCTTTAAGTTTCCACCTCCTTAACATAACCCTTGTCAAAAGCCTTCCAAACTATGAATTCCTAAATCAATCTTCGATTACAAGAAGTAAGCCATCAGCAAATGCAACTGCTTTCAATATTCTCTCTTTCATTTTATGCAGAATATGTGAATAATCGTGCAGCTCTCTTTCTCTAATGATGATTACAGACAAACATATGGAAATTACAGGCTCCGAGATCATTTCTGTAATCTTCCTTGCTATATCTCTACAACTAGGAATTCCATGTCTAGATATAATAATAATAATAATCAACCCTGCTAACTGTAGGTGAAAAGGATATGCTGTCATCCACCTCTTCAGGTGTATATCACTTGAAGTGATTTTAATATTCCTAACTGTGAACAACACCTTAAGGGTGGATCTCATGCCTTAACAGAACTAGGGTCAAGACCACTTCCCAAAGAAACCAATAAATGCAAGTCCTGCAGCAAGTTGTAACAAAGTTGCCCTAGGGTTCAGTAGCATCAACTAAATGCTCATCCTTGTGGTCTTTTTCAACCTCCAGGATTTCCACATCTTCACCTAACTAAAAAGTAAGAAATAATTCTCTTTTAAGTTAAATTCTACATCTCATACCACTTGCCTTAATCCCAAATTTCATAAACTCCAATCAACTTTCCAGATTTTGATATGACAATATAACATGGAACCAGAAGTTATAGCTATTTACTCCTGCATATATACGCCTTTCTCACACAATCCCCATCTTTCAACAATAAAAACCAAAGACAAATCTAAATCAGAAGCAACAGCTCTCCTTTCAAGTTAGTTTTCTAAATGACTTTGATACTCAAAACAGATGCTTCCTTGAACAAGACTATAGAATGTTGAAACAAAAGAAAAATTCAATAAAACAAAACAAAACTCTTGTTTGGAAATTAGTAGCTATGCAGCCCCTTTGCATGCCAGTCCTTGTGCAGCACGATACTCAGGGAGGACAGAATCCATAACATTGGTGGTCGATGAGAGGAAGAGAGACCAAAGAATGCAACTTTATCCAATGGAACAAAAAGTCAGTTACTGTCCAAAGAAAAACTTTTTCCCCAGAAAGAGCATAATATGTATGAAAATAAAAACTTCTGCTAACTCGACAATCATTCCTCAGTCTTACTCTTTGAAAAGAAAGGAAGCTGTTTCCATGGTGTCAAAGTTTTCGCTAACTAGAAAAGGCATAAAACCTACCACTTTAATAGCTGCCTCTTGAGCAAACTAACATACAAAGACAAAACCACAAAAGAAGAGCAAAATTTACAGGAAAGCTCCTTTTATCTCTTCCATACCAAGGAAACATCAAGTTATCTCCTCAAAAAGCTCAGTGTTCTGGTATTTTATCAAATCTAAACAATGTAAACCTGTCAAATTATCGTATAAGTTTCACATCCATGAACCAACTCACCATCTTACC